TTTTTTTGCAGCAACCAACTCTCAGCGACATGACCGAGTTCGAGCTTACATTCTCGTACAAGATTGAAGAGATGCTAAGCCGTATCGCTCATCCAGAATATCGCCAGCTGCTTGTTGAGGTCAGTGATCTTCTCCTAATAAGCTCTTGTTGTTTTACTTTCTACAGGCTATTTTCGGTATCTGCGTAGCAGTGATAAGCTCCTCGTTGAAAGCGATAGCTTCGAAAAGTAATTTGTCGAGAGTGTTTTACTCGTTTAACGTAAAATCCCCTTAGTAGGATTTCCGTGTCGTATCTCAGCTATCTTTGGAAGTAACACATGATGCTCCGATGAGATGATAATCCGCAAAAGCTCGTATCTCTTGGCTTTTGCCCGAGCTTAGTGCAAAATTGATGGCGAAATTTGCAGCGCTTATCCTTTTGATGGCAAAGAACTACAGCGGATAGAGCTTCATAGCCGAGGGATTATGTGTGACGAAAGCAATAGAATTTGGTTTCTTTTGCAGCTTCTTTCGGTGATCGCAACAATTCTGGAACGAAACCCGGAGATAACATTTGGATCAGGACCGATAGACTGTGATGTGGTAAGCAGAGTTATTTAGTAAAGCAATTTTTGCATAATTATCAGAGGAAATATGTTGAGGAGACTTTCGTAGCTCCGATTTTATATAGTTTTCTTGCCTTGAACGTAGGATTTTCAATCTTATCAACCAATTTTCAAAAAATGCAAATACCAATCACTAATACCTACCATTACCAAGATGCGGTCCATTGTCCGCAGCTACTCATACTGTAATGTGCAAAAGGAGGGTCTCGTGTCATAATGAAATCTTTGGAGAAAATGCGAATATTCGTGTAGAATGCATCAAAGTTTTTTTTCTAATTATGTGCTTTTCAGCTCATTAAGAAAGCCTTCTACATTTACGCCGACCAGGAAAAAATCTCGGACAAGGAAGACCTCACCCCATTCTATCAGCTCGAAAACATCTCGATGCAGACGTCTACTGCAACTTATCTAGCTAAAGTAGGTCTCATACGCGCATATCATCTATTTTGACATTATATATTAAACTTTAACATGTAGATTAGCTCAAATCTTGACATTTGTTTTGACTCACTGAAGTCTTTAAAGGCTTCGAGTCAAGGTTAAAAAGAGTTAGAGGTTTTGACAGAAGCTCAGTTATCTCAGGTTTACATTTGAAGTTTCATTTGAAGATTTGGAGTAAAGAGGGGGATTTACGGAACAAAATCTATCGCTTTTTCTATGCTTCGAACTGAACTTCTTGGTCTTTCATTTTTTTGAAATGAGATTATTGACTAAAGATTTTGTCAGTAATTGCAGGAGCACATCCTGGTATAGATCGAAGAATGCTTAATAAGCTCTGGTGAACTTTTACTTTATCTTGCTCATCATAGGCGAAAGCATCTTATCGAATTTTGGACTTTCTGGTTTTCTTTATTTTTAGAATGAGATTGATGGCTAAAATTAGTAATATAATAATAGTTTTGTCTTATTGTCAGAGTTACTGAAATATTTTGCATCAAAAGTTTGAATTGATTTCTACGGATTAATCTGTCCAGTAGCTTTGAAATTTTCCTTAAGTTATTGTGAGATTGCTGTGATTAGGA